ATTTTTCACCCTCAGTTTTCCAGAAAATCCGTTAAAACCTTACTTCATGAAAAGAAAATTGAGCTATTATGACTCTATATTCCTGTTCAGCATGACGAATTCAATGTATTTCAACGTTTTCTGAGGCTTCTTTGTGTTTCCGTGCCACAGTTTTCTAAGAGGATTTCTGGAAAACTGAGGGCAAAAAATGGAAAGTGCTGAGGATAGTTGTATGGGCAAAGTTATAGATCCTACTAAGTAATTCCTATCCTGAAAAAATCTCGAAAAATTTTCGGAGCGTTTAAGAGAAAACCGAGGTCAAACTTCAGGAATTGTTCAAGTAAATTGGGTACCACTCGAATGTAAAGTTAGATCGAGACCGAATTCCTTCATCATTAGAGGTCAAGCTACATTTTGATAATGTTTCGTTCATTTTCACCGATTTCGGTTTCACCCTCACCAAAAACTTGAGGTGTCTAGAAAACCACTTTCCAGATGTTTGGATGCTCTAGACGATGGGCAAAGTGAAATTTTCGCGACTAATAGTGAATATAATAGTGGGCGGACTTGCGCGGAAGGACTCATCCTTAACACAGCCTGGACAAAATCCTTGTCGAAAGTGCTTGGCACTGGCTTGACTAGGAGTTATAGAAATTGACAGAACAAAAGAATAACAACGGTCAAAACATTGTGGCAAAGATCTAAAAATGTCGTTTTAACAGGTACTGGATCAGTTAGTTATTAATGGTTGTTTAACAGACAATACATCGTTTTCGACGTGCTGGGGCAATCAAACATATTGTAAATAATGACTATATTAGAATTTTGTTTACTTGATCTTCTTTCGGCTGTTATTAATCAGTCAACCGGAGACTCGCGACTGTCAACATATTTCCCGCGTAAATGACGTTGATAGTCGCGATCATCCGACATTTACCTTGATGATCTTGATCGGACAAGATAAATCAAAATCAAAATGACAGAAAATGATACCAGTACTCTATGGAATTGTTTGATTCTATTTTAGCTTATCTTGCGACCTAACATTTGTTCCTCTTCGCCCAGCTGATCAATTAAAATTGTTAAAAAGGTCAGGTAACAATCTTTTAATGGTTTCCATTAACCAATATCATATCTATAAATCTCGTTTTTTTTATTGTTTGTGTTTATGTGTGTGTTTGTGTTTAGTTTGTGTTTGTTTGTTTTATAAGTGTAGTATTATTCGTTCAGGTATCGCAATCTTGAATAAATAAAATCGTTTTAGAAAAACGCTTTAGGAGCAATTTAGAATTATAAATTCCAAAATTCTCTTCTGCTCTTACCTGGAGTAGCATCGGAAAGAAATTGTTGTTTACTGAGAATGAGTGTGGTAGTCATCCAATTGCGTCGCAAGACGATTAGTCAATGTCCAACGTGTCAGAGAGGATAAAAAAAAGTCAGATTAAAACTGCAGGCATCTTTTCATTTTTAAAGAGAATTTTTTAAAGAGTATTGGCAATGGATTGAATTTCATAGACCACGTTGTTCCATCACATATAACATTCATCAGTACTGACTTATCTACAAAATATAAGATTTTTGATGTCGGTGGAACTAGATTTGATGATATATAAAATTAAGGAGAGTTTATCTTTGATTGAATCTTTCTTTACTCCTTTTCAGATGGGCTCAGGCAGTACAAAACTCTTATCATATGAGGAAGCCTGCAAACGTTGTAAGTGGTTAAATATGCATATTTCCTGTTCTTAACTCTGACGTTAATCCATTGAGTTTATATTTTAGTTTTTCCTTCTGATTTGGAAAGAATTGAATTAACATTCCGTGATATAACAAATGGATCCGGCCAACTTTCATTTAATAATTTTAAACGAGACGTATTTGGAAATTTTCTCCCCGAAAAACTCGCTACGGTTCGTAGTTTGTTATTGATTTGCTTTAAGGTGATCTAGGATGAGAAGGACATGCGATGGAGATGATGGTATTTTCCGCTCTTTAACAGAACCAAAACTATACATCGTTTTAGTAAAATTTTACGATTCAATGTACGATTTAATTAGAGCATTCTTTTAGTGTGCTTAGATGTTTTCAATAGACTGTATAGTTTGTTTTATTCATTTAGCGTTTATATAAAGTGTGTATGGGTAATTCAAAATATGGAATGACTATTAAAGATCTCATCGTATGCTTAGCAATAATTTATTATGGGAAATCGAAAGAACGAATGCAACGTATGTGTGATTCTGCAGTGTTCAGTGAATCATTACAATGAATTTGATGGATGTATGATATTTTTTGTTTAAAGTTTTGTATGCTATTTTTACATTTCAACGTTCAACATTTAATCGGCAAGTTGTCGAAGAATTTATTGCACAATGTGGTGAAACAACACCCGAAGAATTGCAAACGTTATTTTACAACGTAAGTATATTGTTTTGTTAAACTTCATGTTTGACATTCATCAATTATGATTATTATCCTAGGATGGACATATATCACAAGAAAGTTTTGTCAGATGGTTCGAACAACATCGTGGAAATACAACCATTTTCACCGATTGGTTAATGGATGACAATATTCTACATGAATTAGCATCTATCATTGATGATAAAAGTGATCAATTTGCGATATTAGCTAGTGTAACATATTGTAGGTAAATTTCATCTCGAATTTAATTCTTTCAACATTTTCTATATACTGTTTTCAGTGAGCGATAAAGAAGTACTGGATTTGGAACGCTGTTATATTCAGCTTCATTCAACTTCTCGAAGACAGATGAATACGGAAACATTTTCTAAACTATTATCACCTGTATTCCCTCCAATTCTCATTCCAGGTAACCAAAGGTTTCCATAGATTTGTAAGTTCTAAACAAAATTCTACAACGTTTGTGTTTAGGATTTTTTGATGCATTTGATGAAAACCAAGATGGTATGAGAAAGAGGTGATGAAGTAATTTATGAAGTTTTAATACATTTTTGGTCTTAGGTACTATCGATTTTAAAGAATTTGTGTGTGGAATCAGTGCGGCATGTCGCGGTTCTAATACGGAACGCTTTCAATGTAAGAATTAGAATAATCGTTTGCCATCGTTCTCACATTTAATATATATTTGCCACTTAGTTCTATTCAAAGTATTTGACCGTGATCATGATCATTTGTTAAATAAAGCAGATATTATTCATATGGCATCGTGTTTGATTGATGTAGCACAATTTACATACCAGATAAAGTCTTTACATGTCGTCGATTCACCAGAAGACTTTGCTAAAAATATATTAAACGAAAATGGACAGGTATTGAAAAACCGAATATATCCTACTTAATCTACATATCTCGACGCTGATGAACAGAACTGTCCTAAAATTTTTTATTATTGACTATGTTCCAGTGTAAGGGATCATTCTATTATTAGTTTAAGCTTTAATCTTGAACCAGAACATGCTAATATTAAGTGACAGTAGTCAGATTTTTCTGTTGCTGAAACTTCTGTTTAAGATTTTCGTTGAAAGTTTAATACGTTGATTTAGTTTCAACAAAAGATCTTAAAGGGGCATACTAATTGATCTTAAATTTTTATTTATTTTAGGATCATGTTGTTAATCAAGAAGATTTTTTAGAATGGTGTAAAAACGAGCTTCTTATATCTGAATTGCTCAGTTTAATATTTCAAATTTGTCATGTTGTATTAGGCCTAAAACCATCCAATAAAGAAGAAGAAGCACTGATAATCAAGTACGTTCGTGTTCATGTACTCAAAGAATCACCTGCGTATTACAGTGACTAAAACATGAATCTGTAATGAAACTGTTTAGTGGGCAATAATTGTTTATACAGTTTCATGCGAAAAAAATTACATTAAGTAAATGAAAAAATATTCTTAATTATTGGTTTTTTTCGACGATCATTCTCTCTTTAAGTGAATGTCTATGAATTTTATATTGAACAACGCATGTTCGATCTTTTTCTCGTTTCCTAGAACATTCCTTAAACGTGAACAATATCCATTTATTGAACCTCAATCACACGCGTCTTCAAAAGGTGATCGAAATCGTTCGACGACAAAACCCGGTTCTAACTGGTATTTGATTAATATTGAATGGTGGAAAGAATGGGAACAAAAAATTGGTACAAGATATAACTATTCACAAACAAATTCAAAAAATCAACGTTATAATCAATCATCATCCGACATACAACAATTGACAACATCATCTCCATTAAATAAAACTCGTTCAGCACTAAAATTAACAAAAAATTCTTCCTCAAAAACCGGTCAAAATGGATCTGCTACTGATTTAAGGTTTGTATTATTTTCTCTCTGATAATATATGCAAAAATATGACTTTTCTCTTTAAAATTATTGAAGTAAACCAGGCGATATTGATAATTGGCCTTTAATAGAAAAACATTCTCCATCGTCTAGTAAATTTACATTTATAAATGATGAATGCATTCAATTAAAATCAAATCTAAAATATTCTATGGATTATGAAATGGTTCCTGAGGTACTGTGGAATTTTATTAAAAACTTTTATCGTTGTAAGATAGCCATATGTAGAAAAGTAACGTATGAACGAAAACGAATGAAACCCGAATTAGAACTTTATCCGGTAAAGGCATTGATTGTTTTTGAGATAAATGGATCATTATAAACATCTTTTTGTTTCTTTCTAGTTGTCTATAAAGATTTATCGTAACCAAATGATTTCACAACAACAGACGTCAAATAATAATTATAATAATAGTACTAATAACAGTGCTACGACACCTCATCATTCCATGTATTTTGTTTATCCGTTAATTAATTTTGTATCTGCCAGTATGTTTGGTAATGGTAAGTTTAAAATCATTGTAAGTTAATCGAAGAATTATTCGTTATTGTTTTCTAAAAGGTTCATCCACAAACGTATCACGACATTATTTGGCAAATACACATTTTGTTAGTCCACATCAAACATTAAAATCTATCGCTGAAGAATTAGCTTTTAAATATGGAGTGCAGTTGGATGAAGTTCGATTATGGTTAAGATATGGAGAGGTATGATATTCAAATTCATTTTTTGACTTCAAATATATGTTTCTTGTTTGACTCAGAATAATTTACGATGGTTAGACTTTGAACAAGATGATTTGACATGTCAACAAGCTTCCATTCAAAATGATAGTGAAATATTATTCGAAGTTCGAAATAATGACTTGACATGGCCAGAAGAATTGTATACATTGACAACATCAGCAATGAAAACAAAATCAAATGAAAATAAAGAGACATCATCGACCGTTGTTAGTGCTGGCACTACTGGTTTAAGTAATTTAGGGAATACATGTTTTTTAAATGCTGCTGTACAAGCTCTCAGTTATACACATCCGTTGACACATTATTTCTTAGAAAAATATCATTTATTCGAAATAAACAAGTAAGCAGATTTCTATGAACGATCATTTCAGATTATTTTCTTGTTTTAAATACTAAAAACGTTTCATTCAACATCTAACTGTTTTTCATTTCGAAATAGCAACTGTATAGCTTTTTGCCTTTGTTATTTAGCTAAGATTATAAATATTCATTCTATTTATTTTTAGAGACAACCCAATCGGTATGCAAGGAAATATAGCTTTACGATATGGACAGTTAGTAGATAAACTATGGAGTGGTGTGAAAGGACCACTTGCTCCCTTCGAACTACGCGTATGAACTACTAGTTTTACTTTATTATTTGGCGATATTTTACTTTTCTCTTATTTTTTTTCTAGGATTCAGTGGCTAAGTTTGGCTCGTCAAGATTTACAGAATTTCAACAACACGATACCCAAGAATTTCTTTCCTTTTTACTTGATGGATTACACGAAGATTTAAATCGTGTCCATCATAAACCATATGTGGAATTAAAAGACAGCGATGACCGACCAGATGAAGATGCAAGTACATAGGACAAACATATTTTTTCATTGTAATTCATTTTTATTATTTTTGGATAACAAAAGGTTGCAAAGGAACATTGGAGTAATCATTTGGCTCGTAATACGAGTATAGTTGTGGATTTATTTCATGGTCTATTGAAATCACAAGTGAAATGTCGTGTTTGTGAATTAAAAAGTGTTCGATTCGATCCATTTAATGTTTTGTCATTACCATTACCATCAGAAGATTTAATTTATTTGGAAGTGAAGTGTAAGTTAAGAAAACACTATAAAATTGTATCTTTATGATTGACAAATTTAAGTTTTTCATTGAATTATTATGTACTGTATTGGGAGTTATGCTCACAGTTCAGAATTTGAAATACACACCTGTATAATCGATAATGTATTCACTTATTGGTTTTAGTAATACGACTCGATGGCTCTGTCCCTATTAAATATAGCATTAAAGTTGGTTCTGATTCAACATTGTTGTATGTTAAACAACAACTAGCTGACTTATCATCACTCTCCGTTGATAAATTATCATTTTTCGATGTTACTTATTATTCTTTACGTCGTATTGAACGTGAAACATCAAAAGTTAAATTAATCGGTAATTTCAAAGACTTGTGTGCATATGAAATTCCATTACCAGTTTCAATTGACACTAAACAATCGGATCAAGAAGATACAACGACCTCACAATCGCTCAATTCTCCACGTACCCTTCAACTTTACCGTCCATTGCTGTTTATTACTGCATACCATCGACGTCTCGAACGTGCTGAACGTTACATATCACCAGTGACTCGATATCGTATAGTTTTTTTTGGACAACCAATTATAACGCCATATTATTCATTGTCTTCCACATCGATAATAACGAACAAAGATTTGTATAAAAATGTTTGTAACCAAATCAGTAGATTATTAAGAAATGTTAAATTCGATAAACCAGTAAATCATGCAGTTGATTGTAATAATTCTTTAGCAGAATCTTATCCATTTACGTTGAAAAGTGTGACAGAAGATGGGCAAAAATGTTCAAAATGTACATGGAACAGGTAAAATCTTTAGTCGTTGATCAATGAAGAAGGTACAGATTGACGGTTAATTGTGACTACTTCACCAGGAGATATCCATTGCGAAAATTGGACAAGAAACTGAGAATTCTAAGTTTTATAATTGAGAAAGATCATTATTTTCAGCGTCACTTTTAGATTAGATAAATGTTATATTTTTCGCTTTTGAAGAGACGTTTATTTTTGTATTTAGATTTTGTCTTGGATGTAAAATTGAAATAAACGATGAGCAATACAATTACACTAATGGTACAATATGTATCGATTGGGAGCCAGCTGATTATTATCTGAGCTATCTAGCCGGAAGAGAACTGGTAAGTCATCACTTAGAATCAAGTGTTTGATCTATACTTAGAAAGTTGTTGAAAAGAAGATGAATGAGTGCTTGTGTTGTAGGAAGTAATCAATCATTCGAGTATAGAACTTCGTTCACAACAACAATTTAATATTGATGATCCAATTCGCTTGGAAGATTGTTTAGAATCATTTATTCAATGGGAAAATTTAGATGAAAAAGAAACGTATTATTGTAAAAAATGTGAAAAACATCAACAAGCTGATAAAAAATTAGATATTTGGAAACTGCCACCGATACTTGTACGTAACCAAAAATACTTAAATAGACTTTTTTTTTCTAGTAAGTGTGATGATCATGGCTAAACCGTTTGAATTAAGGAAACAGTTAGCAGTAGCAGCGATCATTTTTACGAAGAGAAAGCAAACTTTGATTCATGCTCCTTATTTAGATATTCCATGTAAAACGTTTTCAATTGTACAATAATCGTTGGATAAAATCGTCTCGTTCTGTTCGATTTCCCATTCATTCGTTTGATCCATCTGTATATCTGGCAACAAGAACACCGACTTCACAAACTGAACCATTTTCTTCTACAACCACAAACTCAGTAATTGATTCAAATAGTAACGATCACCATTCATCATCTTCATCCGCTTCTTCGTCATCATCACCTTCTTTGTCATCCAAAAAAAAACGTCAAACTGAACAATCAACACATCGTAGTGGTGAAGTATTATCACCAGTGCATTTCTCTAATGACTCTGATTATTCATCGAATCAAAATAATAGTGTAAAATCGAAAGTAAAAACGAAATTTAGTAGAAATAAAAAGTCATCCATTACTCCTATGCATACCGAAATATCCAAGTCATCACCAACTAGATTCAAAAAGCAATCACGAAAACTAAAAATGAGTTTTGGTGAAAATAGTTTTGATGCTGATAATGCTGCTTATCATCTTTATGCACTTGTGGTAAGATGATGATATATAATGTTTAAAAACATATTATGAATTTATATTTCATTCTCTCTCTCTCATTGAAGTGTCATCATGGAGTGATCGGTGGTGGCCATTACGTTGCATTTGTGAAAAATCGTACGAATCAACAATGGTATTGTTTCAATGATAGTTTAGTGAAGCCCGTCAATGAAAGTGTTTTGGAACAGTATTCAAGTGCTGCCTATTTATTATTTTATGAACGTGAAGGTTTAAACTATGACAGATATATGCCTGATATTGATGATAAAAGGCAAGTGATATTTGAGCCTTCAGGCGACGATAAATGGTGCTCGATTATGTAATGTGCAAAATGTGTCTAAACAGGAAAATCTCTTCCCGGTGTGTCCATTCGTCATTTATTTTTCTATATGTATGAATGTGTATGTGTGTATAACAATTGATGATGTTGTCAAATATATATATTTTTTTGGCAGATGATAAAAAAATTTCTTGTTATTATTTTGTATTACTATTTTTAAATGTCATTGCTTTTCAAATCAACAAAAAAAATATGTGATTTTTTTCCTCAAGGAACATTTTGTTGAAATAGTTTTTTGTATTTTTTTACCAAGAGTCTATTTTTTGTTTTGAAATTCAATCATCTTTTATTTCGTTTCTTTTTTTACGCTCAATGTACACAACAGAACAAAATTCATATTAATGCTATTTTTCTACACATACATTATATATAAACTTGACTTATTTGTTTACTTGTTCACAGTGTGATTTGCTTATATCGCATGTTTGTCTTTTTGTTATATTAACTTTCCATTACTCGAAACGTACTTGTTATTGTTGGTTTTTTATAAGAGATAAGTAATTAAAGGAGCTGAAGTTGCGTTCTGTTGTATCAATGATGAAATCTTAACAAAATTATGACACTATATTTTACATTCTTTTTCCGATCCACTGTCCATCCAGTCTCATGAAATAAAGACTTTATGAACAACTACTACATACCATTTTTTGTCTACTTCAAAACAACTTTCTGGGTATTTTGGAACTAAGGATCATCTAGGAAATATGTAACATCATGACACAATAAATAGACAGCTTACGCTGTAGAAAAGAGGATACACTAAAAAATGAACAGAGGAAAAATTGTAAGTTATTTCTTCAAGTGTAACACATCGATTGCAAGAATGGTTATCGTGAAAAATAGTTCTTTTTGTGCTGAAGCAAAATCTTCCATAGAGCTCTAGTCTGGCTTTACAAATAAACATATCACAAGAGTTTCTTCCTCAGAAATAGCAAGTCCAAGTTCATCTGTGATTCGTTCGTATGTTACTTCATTCGAAAATAAGGCGTTTTCAGTAAAGTATTAACCGTGAAGTTCTCTGTGTCAGACTTTTCACTTTAACGAAAATGAAAAAGCAACAACCAAGATTGCTAAATATCCCTCGATCAGAGGGACACTCTCTCATTTAAAGATTTGTCTCTCGTAAAAGTACGTCCCTCACGTGGAAGATGTTTCAAAAAGTGGGTAACATTATTGTTTTTGGATTAATTTGTTCCACATTGCAATTTTTACAGTTGGTAACCATAGCAACAACGCATAGATCGACATACTTACTAATCAACAGTTGATGGATAAGTAATGTGCTTTTTCTACTCTGAAAAAGTCACTGGTTTTTTGACCAAGAAAATCTACATCAACATAGTCTTCAGAGATATACCATGTCCACTAGAAAATTGGGATCCGCGCCAGTTGCGTCGTTAAAAAACTTTTTTCCTTGTAATATAATTATCTTACGTCATAAAAGTTGATTCCATTATTGAATTTAGCGTCTACCGCCAAATCCTGGTGAGCTCTGTATATTTAATGATGATTGTACTAATATTATTCTTTTCTATGTAACTGCATGAATGTTTGCCATTTATGTTTAGTATTTTCTGATTGGCTGAATTGAATACCTGTCAACCATTTTTCCATGTTTTGCTCACAAACAGTCACCACAACGAGCAAACAATTAAGCTTTTAAACTTAATTCTTTTAGTCAACGATATTAGTAATTATAGTTTATGACAATAAATTCAGTGTTAATTTAGACTGTATTATATAATAAATTACTTTTATCAGAATCAATCATCATTTGATTTACAAAAGAAATTGAGTTTGTCATTACTACTTCCTTTCTTTAGATGAATACGATAATATTATTTTGTTGAAATATTTTTCAGTTTTGTTTTTCTCAATTTTCTTTTTTTAATTTTCATCGATGCCATTATCAGCTAAACCTGGCTCGATAAAGGATCCTGAAGCTGAGGGTCTTTTTTCCAAAGAGGATCCAGAGAAATTATTTGTTGATTTACGTGAAATTGGACATGGAAATTTTGGTGCTGTTTATTATGTAAGATTTCGAAACAAAAGGTAAAGCAAAACAGTAGGCAAGGCTTCTACTTTATTCTAGGGTCGCAATTGTGAAACATCGGAAGTTGTTGCCATTAAAAAAATGAATACTGGACGAAAACAAAATGCTGAGGTACAACAAACGAATATACAATTTTAAAATCGTTGACAAATTCTACTCGTATTTTAGACATGGCAAGATATTTTGAAAGAAATCAGATTTTTGCGTGAGCTGAATCATCGACATTGTATAGCCTACAAAGGATGTTATCTAAAAGAACATACCACATGGTAAGGAATGTTTCATAACTTGATTTACTATTTTTCAACCACAATTAATTGACTTATTGTTTTGTTTCTAGGCTCGTGATGGAGTATTGCGTTGGTTCAGCTTCCGATTTAATTGAAGGTAGTTTTGACGCTTAGAATATGACCGTTGAGAAAAGCTTGCCATTTTAATTTACAGTGCACAAAAAACCATTGGAAGAAGGTGAAATCGCAACAATTGTCTATGATACCCTATCAGCACTGAATTATCTTCATTCAATGCATCGCATTCATCGAGATATCAAAGCTGGAAATATATTGTTAACAGAAGATGCCATTGTTAAATTAGGTTTGCGGCTTTAGAAATACCACTTTGTTACTGTAATTGTACTTTCATATTTGGATATGAGCTGCTGCTAGTAAACCTTAATTATGATAGCATTACTGAGCTATTAGTTTAGAGTAAAGACATCTTCACACTGGAAGTCTATCTGTTGGGTTGAAGTAAAAAAACTTTTCGTTTTCTCGTTAGATGAGCTTTTATAAAGTCTGATAAATAATCATAAATTATTCAACACAATATACTTTTTGATTCTAGCGGATTTCGGTTCGGCATCATTTAGTAGTCCAGCTAACAGTTTTGTTGGCACACCGTAAGTAGGCTGTTATATTAAGACAACGGTGTTCATTTATGTGTGTTTATGTGACTTATTTCAGGTATTGGATTGCACCGGAAGTAATACTGGCCATGGAAAATGGACAATATGATGGCAAAGTGGACATTTGGAGTCTGGGAATCACATGTATAGAATTAGGTAATATAAAAGTAACTCGTTCGGATCCGATTCTACTCTATTATTCCTTACAGCTGAGAGAAAGCCTCCATTGTTCAATATGAACCCGATGAGTGCATTATATCATATAGCACAAAACGAACCACCAGTTTTAAGCGAACCAGATTCTCATACAGTCGATTTTGTTTCATTTATTGATGTATGCTTGCAAAAAGCACCAAGTGACAGACCAACTGCAAATGAATTACTGACGGTAAGGTTTACGTTTTATTCGATAATTGAAAACTCTTGATGTGTTTCAGTCGTCAGTATGAAAGTCATAGTTTTATCATGTTTGTATGACGGGACCAAAACACATAACAAGGGTTTTCGCAGCTTATTTAACTCATCATTATCACTAAAAAAAAAGTTGATATGGTTTTTAGACTCCATTTATAACGAGTAAAAGTAATCGTGAAATATTGATTGATTTAATACGTCGAACCAAAGAAGCTGTACGAGAGTTTGATAATATTCGTTATCGGAGAATGAAGAAAATATTAATGGGACAAGAAAGTCCAAAAGATACGAGTGATATTTCGTCATCAAATGTTGATATTTTGGATGACGGAAGTAATGGTGCACCGGTATGTAGCAGTTGCTTAGAGGTATTGTTAATAATTTCTTCATCGTTACTGTGTTGCAGGATTACTTCAATTCAATCGATGATGAAGAAAAAAGTAGTGATTATCCAACATATCACGATGACGAAAGTCTTAATTCAAGTCGTTCTAGTCTTCAACAACCGTCAATAATAACACCAGCGTGTAATGCAATTACTAATTTAGTTATGAACGGTTTGCCAAATGGTCGGTTATCCGATGTACATAATCAATCTTATGTGTCGCCATCAAGTACTCAAAATATTCCCTATAATAACAGACGTTTTTCTTCTGGTGATAATCGTATACATCTCCATCCGCCACCTCCTTTAACAACTGAGCGTCAAAGTACTAATGAATCAACTTTATCAGTTCGAGAGTCAGATGTATGTAACAAATGTAATAAAAAGAAAATTATGACAATTGTTTTCTTTCTTTGATTTAGACGACTACATCCGACTCACTCAGTTGCATATCTCCACGTTTAATAAATGAATTTTCAACAATTAAAACATCGAGAATTGTGATTCGGGAACATCAAGAGCATGATCAGGAAGACCAACAACGAGAACAATTTCGAGGTTACAAACAGATGCGTAGACAGCATCAAAAACAATTAAAACAGGTAAATCGTCAGTTATTCAGAAAAAAGTTTTTTTGGTCAATGCACCTATTTTTTCTAGTTTGAAGAACGTTGTCGACAAGAAAAAGTTGACTTACGGAATAAACTTGAACGTGAATACAATCAATCTCAAGAACAAGTTATTGCTGATAATAATCGTATATTAGAAAAACATCGAAAAGAATCAGCTGATCGAGTAAATGAATATCAACGTTGTCAACAGGCAACAAAATGTATGTCTGTTTTGTTATTTAAGGTGAAATACAATCAAAACCAACTAAGAAAATTAGAGCGTGAACAAGAATCTGACTACGATACAGAATTAAAATGTTTTTCAGCTGAACAACAACGAAGTTATAAAATGAAGAAAGAGGCGCTCAAAAAGGTAAGAACTAGTCATTTCTGAATTAACGATTGACAAATGAACGTTAATATCTTAGGAAATTTTGAGTTCTTCACAACCAAAAAATAAAAAAGAGGAAGAAATACGTAAATTAAAAGAAGATTTACAAATGAAGTTGAGAAATGATGAACAAAATTTACGAACAAAATTAGAACACGATCATACAGTTAAAAAATTACAATTAAGAAGACGAAGATTGTTGTTATTACATGTTTTAGAGCAAAAATTGTTTGAAGAAGTATGTTATATATAGATCTGTGTAATAACAGAGTTGCAGTGTATCTGTCCATTTCAGAAGTGTGCAAAAAATATGGATCATATTATTGCAAGGCATTCATTGTTAAAAAAACATCATGAACAGACGAAAGAACTTGAATTGAAACAATTACAAAATTTACACAAGTATGTAGTTGAATATTTGTCACAAGAAACAACAGTTAACTTTCTTCTATGTTTAAAATTTATAGAATGCGTGGTGAATTTACCAATAAGCAACATCATACAGAAATAGCTAATTTTGGTGAATATAATGCGAGAAGACAGAAAGAATTGATAAAACAACACGCATTTAATCAAAAACAATTTCCAAAAAATATTAAAGTATATAGTACCCATTGATCATCAATTTTTTCTAAGATAAAATATTTTCTTTGTTGTAGATCAAACAAGCTGATATAAAAAAGCAATATAAAGATGCTTATAATACTCAAACACGTCAATATAAAGCATTAAAAGAGAAAACACGTTCAGATAATCCAACGCTATCACGTGAAGAGTTAGAATTAAAATTAAAGCAAATTAAAGATGAACAACGACGAAAATTTGATTTATTATATCAGCGATACGAAGAAACCATTCAAAAAATGCTTGATCAGCAAAACGTATGTATTTCAAAAAAATTTTTTTCGAAGTACTACTAATCTTAATCAACGATTTTTATGTAGATTAAACTAAATGCTGATCAAGAACAAGAACGAATGAATTTAAAACAAATATTAGATGAAGATCAACGAAATTTAACAGCACTACAAGAAGAAAGTCGTTTAAGAATGGAACAACAAAATATGGACGAACGGCGACAATTAGATAGAAATATTGATGATAGACTAACACAATTAAATAAGCAGGTAAAATTGAAAAGAATATTGCATTTTATTTTATTTTTTTCGCTTTTTTCAATTAATATACTCTGCACTTTAAATTTTAGATGGAACAAGATTTAGCGGCGTATAATGAAGATCGCACACGTCAATTTCAAATATTACTAGAACGTCAACGTCGTGAATTAGATGTTATTGATAATGAAATTACACATCTTGGACTCAATGTCAATGATTTAATTGATAACGTTCAAGATATGACTTTTTTAAATATAAATGAGGATAATAATACTATTAATCATTCATCAATGGATGGTTCAATCAGATTACCCTCGTCAAATACTTCCAATCATAATCAAAACTATCATTATTTTCAACAACAGCAACAACAAACGACTAATCCATCAAATGGTACGAATGGACAGCAGCAACAGCAAATTCGCTATTATGCTGATCGTAGTTCAATAATAAGTTTACAGCGTAGTCGTAGTTCAAATTCATTTCATAATAATAATTCATCGACAGCAGTCATATCGACACAATCTCCACAACCAATTTTATATACAAATTCGAACAAATAACTCTTCGTTCTTTCTTTCTTTTTCTTGTGAATACAGTGATTTGTTTTTGTTTATTTATTATTTTTGCCAAAACATACTACAGTTATCTAGAATTTTTTTCTCTCATTTATTTGTTTTCGATCGACGATACACAACATATCGTTCTTTTTGTTGTATTTCTCTTGTGATGGTCAGACTTTTCGTGTTTTCTTTTTTTGATGCACTTGTACATATTTAATATCACTACATCTTCTATAACCTGTTTTGATATGTCAGGGCTACGAATCCACAAAATAACAGATAAATGTAACCAATAATTTTTTTTTCAAGGAGTGAAGTAATCTGTCAAGAAAAAAGTAACTTTAAAAAGTAGTTGATTTAGATAAAAATTTCATACTTTTAAAGTCGATAGTTCAAATCTTTTTTTAATAATGTTGTTCTTATACTAGATAGATTGGTTTATTCTTTTAGTTTTTTATTTGAATGTTGTACTGAATTGTACCATAGAAATTTGTATGTATCATTTCAGTTTTTATCCGATTTTATTGTTCTTCAAAAGAATAAAAGTATTTATAGTTGAAAATAATGAATTGGTTTGTTGATAAATGGTCTTCCTTGTTTTCTTATTTATGTATGTATAATTTCAAATGTTTTTTTTTTGTTTCTTTATGGATCTCTCGATTCGAACTATTATTATTACTTTTCTTGTTTTTTTTTCGATTTACACGAACGATTCTTTTCTTTCGCTTCTTTTTTTTCGCAATCAGGTGGTGTATGTATGCATGTGTTGTATATGTTTTTGTTGGTTTTTTTTTCTAATTTTATTTGTAACTCTTAATTGAATTTCTCGCGCGCTCTCATGCACTTATTTTTATATATATATATCTATTTCAAATATCTCTATCGAAGAAAAATGTCATCGATTATATATGTTATTGTTTGATACCGATAAGTTCGATAATAGTCAAGTACTGTAACGAGTTCATTGATATCTTAAGAAATCGAAAACTAAAATCGTGTTGATGGCATCCATAGTTTAATATTCGAACATCAACCAGCATATTAGAGCTCATAATCTTATTCTTCATTTTCATAACAAAAAGAAAAAAATGAGTAGACAAGCTAATAAACAGTCTGAACATTAGTTATCTTTAATCTCATTCTTCATATGTAATAATGCTTGTGTGTAACGTTCAACTTTACATTTGTACTTGACTATAACATTTGCTGGTATGATTTTCTTCATTTCAATGTTACATTTCATCGTATCTAATCGTGTTATTTCAGATTAATAACATTTTTTATATGTGTTTGTCTCTACACATTGTAAGAAAAACATAAACTATTGACTAGTTTCTTTCTTATTTTCGATAAATCATAACATATTCGATTGAAAAATGAGTACAGGTAGTCCTGTAAATTCATCGACAGCAACCTCACAATTATCGGTAATATAAAGATTTATTCATATTTTTTCACGAAGTGAAACAAGATTTTTTCGTATTTTTTAGTTAGTGGCTAGTGCTGCTATTCATGATGTGAAACCAGAGCAATCATCAACCACTATCATATTACCCGGTAAAATTTAAAACTTATCATGTGTAAACATCTTAATTTTAATTTTACTTTAGATTGTCCGCCTCCCGTTTATTCTCCAACAGGCAATATGCTTAATCAAGTTGAAAACACTGCACCACATACAGAAGCTCCACCTCCATATTGTTTAATTGATCCGAGTAAAATATATTCACATTATCAACATCATCCGAATATAACATCACCGGAGTATATTGACTTGGATAATAGTGATACGGTAAGGTTATGGTCTGTTTCAATTGAAAGTATGTATTAAAAGTTTTCTTTTACTTTTATTTTAGACTCCTCGACAACAAGTAATTTCAGCATGGCTTTCTAGTGGTAATAATATGGATATTGGAACAGATTGTGCGTTTTTAATGGCTTTTATTGGTAAGTTGATTTAATTTGATAACAGCAATACGACTATGTTGCATTTTTCTCTTTTTAGTGAGTTTTTTCTTTAATTGGGTCGGATTCTTGGCTGTTGTCTGTCTCATACCAACAATTTCAGCTCGTTTTGGAGCCATGAGCGGTTTTGGTCTTTCAATGGCAAAATGGATGTACGTTTACATGCCCGTTGTCTATTTGAAACATGTATATATCATATAGACTTATACTTTTCATTCTAGTACTGTTATGAGATATCACGATTTTAAAAATGGTGTTCGAGATCCGGCGCAAAATTTTGTTTTTGCAATTGTTTTATTTACTGGTAAATGGTGCATATTTTTATTTTACCTTTTAATGTTTCTCAACACCTTTTATTCATTCTTTTAGGGTTTTTCCTTTTCGTACGTGGTCTCATATCGTATATTACAGTTAAAAATCGTGCCAATCGTGCTGGACAAACTGCCGAAACATTTACATGGTATTGAGTGGATTTGATTATGAGAAAACAATTAATCATTCTTGGTGTATATTGTTATCAGTACTTTTTCTCTTATTTCACTTGTTTCTTTTTGTTTTTTTTCTTAGTTTTCTTCGAGAGATCTTTTCGATGTTTATTCTCATCTCTAAAAAGACACACGTGTATACTAAGTATATTGTTATCTGTTGTTCTGAATGTACAAAAACTATCAAACAGAAACCTTATTGTCGTTTGTCTTTCCTGTCTCTTTTTTTATTCAAAAAGAGCTTCTTTCAATCGGTTATTTTAATCTCATTACATATTTATTTTCAAACACGAACAAGAGTGTACAAATCTCTAAATTTTGTATTGATAGTAAATTCAAGTGATTATCTGGTGTTTTTTTAAATTTGAACATGTAAAATTTTGATGAAAACGAAGCATGCCCAAATTTTTTTTTCTCTGCATTTTTTACGGAATTATGAGAGTCGATGTTTTGTGTATGTTGTTATTATCTTTATGCATAGTATATGAAAAGTGCTGATTAAATAGCACTTTTGTCATATTGGACAGGAATAGCTATTTCTTTTATTTCTCGATTATCTACATACAAATATATTATTTTTGTGGTTCTCTTTTTTCCCGATGCGAAAATTGGGCGACTTTGTGTTTTTTTGATTTCTTTAAATATTTATTTATTTTTGGCTCTAATACTAATATAGCGAACAATGTCTTGCTGTTTTTTTTTTGCTCAGAATAAAGCGGGTTAAATGAGTTGTTCAAAAATATTTGAACGAATTTCTTAATTCTCGCTCTCATGATACTTCAGATACTCATGGTTAACTGCTGAATGATGAGCATCAAACAAGAGAAAGAAAATTAAGAAGGAAAACGCAAAATTAACAACATTTTGTTAAAAGTGCAGTTTTAGACTAATCTTCTTGTCTTGAGCCAATATTTTTCGAACCAAATAGAAATAAAAGCAAAGTGTTCTTATATTTAATGTGATAGAGTTTGTGATATAACTAGATTGCAAGTTGTATTGCGACAGGTTTTGTCGTGTCAGTGTAAATGATCACTGTTTTATGTTTGAAGTAAGAGTCTAAAATTCACTGAACATCGTAAATGATAAATCTTTTATTTCAAATTGTATGAACTGTTAGTCTATTGTACGATTACGCCTGATAGAATCCTGCCGTTATAATGTATCGCTACTACACCGTTGTTGGCTCAAATTTGAACAGAAACTAGTTCCGCTTAGAATCTCAAAATATATAGATAGTTTTGTGAAGTTTCTTGTTTTTTAAGTATAGGTATTTACTTTTACTCAGCCATTGTACAACACAGAAGGCACACTTAGTTTAAACTATTTGGTATTTATTTTAAAAGAGAAAGAAATAAGCCTGATAACTTCCCTTTTAAGCCGCAAGAGCATGATATAGTTGGAGAGCTATCCTGCAAGATGTTCCATAACCATTGAACACAAATAATCCTAATGAAGAAGAAAGCAAAGTAACATAACAAATGAATGAGATAACGAAAAAATAGTAGCAGAGAGATAGTCATACGTTTAAAATCTGTTAGTGTCAATAACATATTCTATAATTATTCTATAAAGTTCTGTATACAGCTCGAAATCCATATCTTTGCGTAGCAGTAGTAAATTCATACTGATGTCAGTATCTGAATCACGTTGTTTTATTTATTTAAATAGATTTGCTCTCGCTAGACGATAGTATGGACAAGAAAGAAAGTAATGTTTTTATTGTCTCTAGTCTTCCACAATCACATAGTTCTTCAGTAGTAGGCAAATGCCCTCTAAAAAAATCATTGTTCAGGACTGAAAAATCTACTTTCATCTGTTGGAGAGTTAATTGCAGCTGTTCTATCAGTCGCACTAAGCGTCTGAGTCTTGCGAAGTAAATGAAAATGTTACAAAAGTTCCTTTCCAAAAGTGCTACATCAAAAGATTGTTCGAAGCTTTAAAGGGAGAGTTTGATAGTATAAGGAACAAAAAATTTCATTTCTTCCATAGATTGACTGACTTGTGTTTAAATTATTTGATCACGTGTTATATATATTATTTCCGATAGAGTGAATATATTTACATTAAACAAATTTACAAAAAATATAGACCAAATATAAAACTGAATCAACATATAGAACGAGAAATGAAAAGCATAAATATGTACAAACAAAAATAGAAATACCCGTGATTAGTTGTGAAAAAATGTACAAGAAATATACAAAGGATAAAATCTTCTCGTTCTCAAAGTTGTTGATGATGTGACTACATTTTATCTGATAAAGGAAGAAAATCAACAAAAACAATGAATGAGTGAATGAAGTTTTTGACTATGAGAAGATGAGAGATGGGAAAACAAAAAAGTATAATATACAGTACTGTTCAAAAAAAAAAATACTAAAGTTTTTAATTTATTCACTCGATATTGATACTTGTCTTAAATGTTCACGTTCAGCTCTGTGGGAATCTGAACAACTACATCCAATTAACATTTCTCGATTTAAGAGTGTATCAGCTGTGGCTTGATCACCAGTGGCTATCGCTGTGTACACGGCACTATGATCTAAATAACCATTCAAATGAATGTCTGAACCACTTTTTAATAAATAATCAATAATTTCAGCATGATTACCACGAACAGCTAAGAAAAAAATAAATAATAAAATAAATAAAAAAAATAATTTATATTTTTTATAAAACCTACCCAAAATCAATGGTATATCTCCATCATCATTTTTAGTATTTACACTAGCACCATATTTCACAAGTGTTTGTACAACTTCTAAATGACCACCCTAAAATACAGTTTTATTTAAATAAACTTGATTATTTGAAGATTATAAATAAACGTACCTGTGCTGCGGCGTGTAAAGGTGTATATCCAAATTGACCTGCCTGGTTAATATCAGCATGATGGACAATTAATTCTTTAACAACATCTAATCTTCCTAACATACCTAAAGTACAAAAAAATGTCCTTGTAGATAGATATACTTTCTTTTTATCACATGTCACACTTACTGGCATTAATAAGTGGTGTGTAACCATATGCATCTGGTTGATTGACATCTGCGCCTAAATATATATAAAAATCTGTTTATTATACATATTCGGAATAGTAACCGTCATTTGGCAAAATCAGTCACGTTGTGAATTCTGTTTATATACAAGCAGTAATTCGAAATAGTGATTATACTAAAGAGGAAGAAATCTATGTATCTTACCTTCACGAATCCATACACGTATGGCGTCTAGTGTTCCACATTCTGCTTCTTCTGGTAATGAACGTTTTGTTTTATTTCCATATGAAAATAAACCAAATAATAAATCTGTTGTTGTTTTAATCCAGCTAACAGGATAATAAACATTTTGTTGTTCAATAGATTGCATTTTTTCGTTTCGTTTATTTTATAAATTAATTTTTATTTAATTTCTTAACAAAGTATGACAAATGATATCTTTAGATAAATAATAGTAGAATAGTCGTATGTATATCTAGAAATAAAATATAACATCGTCAAAATAGAAGGATGATAAACGAAATGAATTTTTTACATTCCTAGGAAGGAAATATGCATCTGTATAATTTACTTATTCTCAAATTTTTTGTATATAAAATATAGCTATACTTGTGTAGTGTAATTTTCTCAAATGAGTTAAAAAGATGAAATAGTAGAGAAGTAATAAATATTTATGTACCGATAAAACTGTCTTAAACCTCTTAACCTCTTATATATTGTCATCGTACATAATATGTTCTAGTTACATCCATATCGATATATAGTAACTCTTAGTACTATAAATGTCTATTTTACGACGTACGTAGAGAACACGAAAAGAAAAGAAAAAAATAACAGTGTTAAATATATGTAAAGAAAGATTGATTGATAGAGTCTTTTTTTGTCCTTTTTTTATCCTGTACTATTTGTCGTTTAAAGACACAAAGAAGAACAGGATAATAATTCTAGGGTACAATTTACATTTCCCTGTTTGAAAGCAATGAGTGCAAATAGGAAAATAAAAAATAAATATCACGTTCTAGTTGCGTGTAGAAATACATGTTTAACAGATGGGTTTGAGAGTGATAGAAAATAAAAGTTCAAATATAAATATAATATAATCAGCAATGGCAGAAAACTTGTTGCTGATGATTACATTCAAACTTTTATGGAAATAAAATATAGATTTCTTTCGAAATGTTTGATATTTGCGTTTTTTGCACTCAAACATTACTGCAAGTTTTGAAGAACGTCTGTGCTTTGTTTAATGTATAGTAGGATCAGAATTGTTCGCAGGAAGTTAGGATTAGGATCTATGGAGTCACTATGGACACTTCATGAAATCATGTAGAAAACAATAAAAAAAAATGATCTTTGCTAGAGAAAAATGAAAACTTTCCATTATTGAAGAATGGCACTGGCCCCTCTCCCAGCTGGACTAGAGTTGTTTTATATTTTTTGTTCATGTTCGAGTAACCTACTCAGAGATGCAGATCTATCCGTGAAATTGGAAAATTTCCCTTGACAAAAAAAGTTTTTTAAAAAAAAACCCGACATAATCCATGAACAGAGTTTCTTTTTGCAAAATATTTGCAAAAAAGAAATTCCAGTTTTTCGTGAATCAATAAGTTTTTCCCCCGACAACGGTCGGAGCAAACAGACAGATTCTGCAGCGCCGGATCTACTATATAATTGATACAGCTATGTATTTGTAACAAATTAGCTTACCCTTCTGTGTTGTAAGATCAGATCAAATAGATTTGTCTGTAAGATTGTTCTTATTCCAATAAAAGTTTAGAAGAAATCTTTGGTTTGGGTATCTATTTATATACTATACAGAAAGAGAGAGAAAAGAATGAATTATTTGATACCATTCAAAAACTTTTTTGTCGTTTTTCTAACTATGTTTCTGTATCACATGCTATATTTAAAATTATTACTGCAAAAATAAAAGTATTACGTCGCATACAGTGCTGTTGATCATGCATAGAGTGTATGATTTTA